CAAACTCTCGGGTGTCCCGCACGATGCATACATCCCCATGGAGACATCAACAAAATCAACTGATGATTCCCCCACAAATACCCGCAAACAATGGTTTCCCATGGTTTCAAAGTGGTGCGAGATGGTTTTCGTCCATCCGCAGTATCAACCAGTTGAACCGCGGGTGGCCGCACCTATGCCTGGGACGGTCCCTGCTCCTTAATCTGCCAGAGCCAACCACCCGAATGGCTCTTTGTAGGTTTCCCAGTCGAAAACCTGAGGTGTCTTGGATAGCAGTGTCCAAGAGGGGCGGACGACGTGGACCTACCAAAGGAGTTGTTCGGGTTTTTATGGTACCATGGTGACAGCAAAGCGGCCCTTATTTCGCGGCGATTTGCTTTGGGAAACAGAAAAAAAGGACACATGTCAGCTTCCCAGCTTCCCTTCATGGCATTCCGCTCGCAAAACCTGGAATCAGTCGACCCGTTTCCCTTTGCTCTTGTTGGGCTTCGGGAAATGCCTTCGGAAGGGTATCTTTTTCGGGGACGCCGGTTAAGATGGTGGGCTTCTTGTTGGTTTCCCTGTGGAAAACGCAAAAAGGGGCACCAACGAAAAGAAAAACAAACACCAAGATCCGAAGCTTTTTGGTGGTTTGTTAGGAACCCTGGATTAGTCAAACCTTCTCTAATAGGGGGGGTGTCTATTTAAGAGGAAGTCCTTCGCACGTTTGGGCCTTTGTTTTTATTTAGCCTTACCACCCTCAAAAACAATATTTCTAGAAACAAGTGTCGAAACCAATCAGGAACTTCGCCCTTCCTTCTGTTTTCTGGTGCGACCTTCCTCCAGAATTTCGGCTGGTTTCCTAGAGACATACCCAGTTCCGAGAAGCCGAGGCGTGGAACAAAAGAGGGTACAGCACCGTTTCACTTTAACTTCAAAGGGAAATTATTCCAAAAAGAAAGAAGGAACAAGACTGTTTCGCTGCTCGGTTCCTGGTTCAGAATCAGTCCAAACTGTTCAAATGGCCATGGGTCAAAACCCCGTACCCCCAGTGAACATCCCAATCCAAACTAAAATAGACTAAAAGGGGGGTGCACCTACCCCAAAATGATCTTCCCAACATGTGACGAAAGTCGCGAGAACTTAGGGAGTGAGATTCCATTGAGCACACCGGCTCAGTTGGTCCGCCCAGGGGCCAGACTTGCTCACTCGCCTGGGCTTGCGATTGAATGCCAATCCTTTTGGACCCTTTCGGGGGTTCAAAGGCTCCCAGTTTGACCATTCAGCGTCAACTCGTGTAGCGCGGGTTTCGGGACATGTACCCAGAGCCTGCACCCAGGGCCTGCAATCCCTTTTGGAATACATTTGGGTAAGCAAAGCATTAAAGCTGCCCATCAGATACGATAGTGCATGCAGAAACAGCACAAAACTAGGCATCTTGGGCCCTCAAAAAGGCTCTTGTACAAGTTCCAAAAACCCCTTCTTCCCCTCTTCAATGGAGGGTCCAATGATGCTTAGGGATGCATGTACAAAGGAGAAGTTGCCTAATTCTTTACTTTCCCGCCACTCTCCCAACTGGGCTTTTCACGTCCAACCTATGGTGAACATGGCTCCGGGAGTTGCAGTGATACGAAGGCAAGGCCGGGATGAATTCTCCTACAGTTGGAGCGCCAGTGCTCGAGATAGTTCTTACATCACCCAACACCTGGGGGAAAAAACGAGAATTTGGTTGAGGAAAATTGGCCATGGGTCAAAATCCCGTGCCCCCAGTGAACATCCCAATCCCCACTAGAATAGATTAAAATGGGTGGCGCACCCCTTCCCCGCTGCCTCTTCCTTTGTTCTTTCCGGCAGCGCTTTGCACGGCGCATGTCTGAAACGATTGAAACAGACCTGACCGAATCCCTGCGCGCCAAAAGACGCAGGCGTAGGTCAGAAAACCAGTGCGGTTATCCCTAAGGGTCGTGGATTTCTGCGAAGACTCCCACAAAAGGAGTCCTTGGCCCTCAGAATTTCAGAGTCCCTGCTGATATTTCGCCCATGAAGACACACCATCGGAGAAGATCCCAGCTAGCCCCTTTTTAGTTTCAATGGGCTTTCGCACCGCACATCAACCTTCGGTGCCTTCTTTGCGGATTCTCGCCTTTTTGGGGTGTATGATTTTCAATGGGCTTTCGCACCGGACATCAAGCTTCGGTGCCTTCTTTGCTGTTTCTATGGCCTGTGCTTTCGCCTCGGATGCTCCAAGGACCCTTAGGTTGAGCAAGGCTCGCAGACTCTGGGCATTGACTCGACCACAAGAGTCGCAGTCGGGCGGAACCTCAAAATTCACGGTTGGCCAAAAATGAGAGCCCTCGTGTTCGAAAACGAAGACGCCGGAGAAAAGACGGAGGGTTCGTTTGCCAAAGCCAGACGGCAACTGCCCCTTTGTATCCGCACTTCGTCATTGCATGCCAATGGTGACCTCCAAAACATGGCTGCTGTTTCATCTGCTGAAGTTTCAGTTTGTCTTTTGCTTGCTGGTGCTCAGCAGGGAATGAGAAATAGAACCACCCGCAGAAACTATCCCCTATGGTTTTCCTTAAGGGAATCCCCAGGTTCGTTCCCCCATTCCCTTCTGAGGATGAGCATGTGTTTTTTACCTTCAGACGGTTCACTGTGGACCTTTCCTCCTTCACCTCCCCACTAAACTTGCGTCTCTTGGGGCACGAATGGAGATGGAGTACTGGGTTGAGCAGGGGTTACTGGAATTCAAAAGTTGATCAACTTGCTGGTGTCCATTGAAACGAGAAACCCACTTTTGGAGGTTCCAAAGAGGGACACATGGAGGGAACCCTAAGGGGTGCCTTACGAGCTTTTTTTGGTAAGAATGTATCCCTTGCCCTGAAAATCCCAGAGTATCCTTGCTCCGGGCATCTGGGCAGAGAAATTCTGGGTGGGGCAGAGGAAGTATACACGGCCATGCCTATTGAGAAATCCCCCCATCTCCCTCCCAAAAAAACGCCAACAACTCCGAGCGGTTCCAGTCTCTCAAACCCATGCTCTGGGGCAAAGAACAGGGAAAGCATGTGTCCAAGAGGGGCTTTTGCGGGACCTTGACAAACTTGGGACTTGGGGTTTCCGGGTTTCCCATGGTCAACACCAAAGTTCCCCCGACGATTTGTACGAGCCGTGAGCCGTGAGTCTGATGGAACGGCCATCCCGGCCGGTCCAGGTGCTTCCTTCCGGAATTCGCAAGACAGATCTTGTGACCTGTCCGTCTGCGTCAAAAAGTGGTGGGCGGGCCAGGGATTCGTTGACCCTTGATTTCACCTCAGCTAAGTCCCAATGTCCCGTTTCCCTTTTCAAACCTGCCGGAATGGGGAGGGCAAAGACCTCAACATGACAACACCCTGCTCGGGAAGGCCGTCCCAAACCCACGATAAGCAGATTGACCGTCTAGATCCATGCAAAAGCCCGGCAGTTCTACTTTTCTGACCCCTATTCAGGCCGAGTCATGCTCAAACCTGATATTCAAGTGGTCTACCCATGGAGAAAACCATTGCGAATAACCATCACTCAGCATACCCAATCCATAGGTACAGTTCGCACACAAATCTGGAAATGTCAAGGAAATGACTGGGAAGCCCGCTGCCAAATGTCTGATCACGGCAACCTCGCCAACCTGATCACCGGCATCAGATCTGGTCGCGTTGCTCTAACTCACAAACCCAGAAAAGGGGACTTGACTGGCTGGAAGATGTTACGTCTCTTCAGTCCTAGACATACTCAAACGAAGAAGCCAGGCAACAAACTTGAAGTTTGGAAATTGATCTGAAAAAATGTGGGTAACCTGCATCATGGCTGAGGCTGCATACACCCTTGTGAAATCGCTGTAACGGGGTTCCTCAAAGTCCAAAGGATACATCCCAAACCCACCTGCTTCCTGTAAAATTAGCGGGTAAAGGTGTTTCTCACTAGCCCATATTATATCTATATCTATATATATATATCCTTGATTTGAGCGATGCTGTGAAATTGGCACGGATCTAAGATTCGAAACGCAACATCCGGCCTGGCCCGTCCTACCGATGCACCCCCGCCGCCCTATACTTCCATGTCTTGTCACGTCGCATGGGCAACGCCGTCCACCGGGCGTAGAGAAACCACAGGAACCCCAGGAAAGATTCCCAGGGATGAATCATCCGTGGCTTTGGAGCGCGAAGAAAGCACGAGACCCCCCAAAACAATCGCCAAGATGCCGGAACCTTAGAAATTCTCACCCAACATTTCCGGGAACCTTTCCTGAGTTTTGCATGGCGCGCGTCAGGAAACGCGCCGTCACCCCTCGAATTCGCCGAGCAAAGTCATGAATTCAGGCCATGGGCGTGCCCATCCGGGAATTCGCGCGAATTCGCTAGGCCAAGAACCAATTCAACATGCCAGTTCTATGCATAAATTCGTACTGCGTCCCTTACAGTGGTCGCATTTTCTGGTTTTTCTCAACATGTCTTTCGGGGTTGCTCAGGGAATTTTGAGGATATCTATGCACAGTTTGGGCGGCGGATGCTTGGCTTTGCTTTTTCTTCGGGGTCCGCCAAAAAGCGCGGACACGCTTCCGTGATTTGCTTGGCTTCCGTTTGGTCTCCCGTAACCATCCACAAAAAGGGGCTTCCCATGAGAAAGACCCAAATCAATGGAGCAGGACGCCGCATTTGTTGCGGGAGATCTTGCCATTCTGCCTTCGTCCATGTTTCTGCGTAAACCCAGAACCAATCCCTCGGAAAATTTGTCATTGGACTGGAAACTAAGATGGACCGAAAAAAGAAAGAGATCGAATCGGCACACATCTGTGCGAGACCACGAGCTCTAATTTATTGGGACCTTGCCGAGTTGAACATCACACCAAAACAAAACTCCCTTCGATGGCCCCAAGAAAAGTTGAAACCATCCAGGGGCAAACATACAGGAATCCCTGCTCACTCCTAAAACCCAGTTTTCCAAAGCATGCCCGGGCCATAGCGCCACTTTGGGCCAGTCCCTCAGGGCAAAATCTCATTCGATTCCGCCGCCGATGCTGACGCTTCCACCGCTGCCGCGATGACTGCAGAGGAGGATTTGGCCTGCGCGCGGTGGGCAAAGGGTTGATCAACTGTTATGGGCTTAATGGAAAAGCAGGTCTCTTTGGGGGCATAATGTTGAGGGTGAAATTGGTGAGTTCCACACGTGGCTTGCTTCCCCCCATAGAGGAAGTTAGCTACATGCTATAGCTACTTGGCTATGGGAGGCCTAGGTTTAATTACTTGGTGAGTGGTTCTACAAGCAGAACGTCTTTTGGTCGACCGAGTGTTAACCCAGGAGTAGCTAGAAATATTGCTTGACTACAATCCGGGAGCGTAACCCGTTCTGGAAGCCACTGGGGCAGGTTGAAACAACTTCTGGGTCCTCCAGTAGAGAGGCTAGAATAAGGGACCCCTTTTTTCTGTAGTCTATTGTACTAGGGGAACCCTCCCCCCAAAAAGGGTGAAAGGGCACTACTGGGCGACCTAGACCTTATTCCTCCGGCAGGTTCTCATCATCTTGGTTGTTGTACCTGGCCTCAGGCCGGTCACTGTCATCCCATGTCCGACATCTTAGGAGCCGGCTGTGCGCTTGCAATGGCTGTTCGAAACTGCTTCAGCTGTTAGGGGCTACACCTTCTCTTGGAATGGGGACACATATTGGCTTTCAAGTACGACTACCCTAATTACAATTTGCGCACTTGTAGGAGTCAAAGGGGACCCCAAGAATGTGATCTTGTTCCGTTTGGTTTCACTTGAGACCAAGCTGAAGAGGGTACGTACAACCCCCAAGAAGGGGTCCGATCCAAAAAGGGGTTGGAGACAGTCTTGGAGACACATGCTAGCGGTCAAAATTGTGTTGCCCACTGAGGAGGTGAGTTTAATCTTCTTAACGCACTTTTCAAGGGTTGGCTCACTATGTTCTTCGCACAACCTGTGAATACCCAAAACAAATAGCCGGCGGCTGAACCAGATCTGATGCCAAACCCAACTGCTCAGGTTGCATTCCCTTGGGGTCCCAGAATCGCTCAACCCTTGTTTCAGCCACGGTGCAAACCATCATGCTGGGCACATGATGGGTGTCGGTACTCTTTTTGAGTTGGTTTCAAGGCACGCCCACTGAACCGACCTTCATCAAGGCACAGTCTAATAATTCACAGGCCGAAAACACGATTTCTGATGAAAGGAACCTGTGACGTCGCAAACCCCGAGCCCCGACTCCCAAACATTTAGAAAATGTCCGTGTTCCCCTTGAAGGGACATCGGGTCCGGATTTGACCCCATCCCTTGTGTTGTCAAGTTCAACGGGGTGTTCCTTCAGGGGTTGGGATGAACCAACATGAGTGGTTGAAACCCGGAAACCCGCTTCCCAGATTGGTCCATCAGTTTCAGTTTCTTGGCGCAACCCTTATCGAACAACCCTGGTCAACTCCTCCCAACCTCTGACACAACCATTCGACAACCGAATGGGTGCCTCCTTTAGGAGCGCACCTCTTTGGGGAAACCAAGCGGAAAGCCACCATTCTGGAAATCCCCCCCCACAAAAATGAAAAACAAAACCGACACGCCCGAGTTCTGGTTCTTCGAATGCCTGAGTGCAGTGTCCGCAGGAGGCGTGCACGCACATCTTGCAGGCCGCAGATTGAGAGTTGGACATGCACTTGGAGAGGCAGTTCTTGATGGTGCAGTCCACCTTGTGGCCTCATCCCCGATCTCCGATTCCCCCCCAACAAAAAACAACCCGGCGAAAAATAGAGGGGCCACAGGCCAAAGTTGGGCCAAATTAGTGTGCATGTATGACTGCATGTATGTGTGTGTATATATATATATATATATTTAGCCACTTAAAATACATATGCGTGTCTGTATGCATGCATGCATGCATGTATGCTGTTGTATTTGTACTTGGGCATTTATGTATCTATGTGTCTCTGTAGTTGCGAGTTTATGTATCTAATATGCGAAGTTATAAAACCATGTATTAATGCATGTATGTGATATGCAGTTTTCTACTCAATAATCTAAGAAGTTTGAAAGTACTTATGTGTGTATGGATTCATGACGTTTACGTATTTTTATGCGCGTGTGTATGCATGCATTCAAGAATTAATAAATTGAGTAATCTAAATATAATTGTTCATGTATGTATTGATGTATGCATTCGTGTATTCATGCATTCATGTATTTATCTATCCAGTATGCCTGAAACTATGTGTGCAAGCGTGTATGTGCGTATGTGTGTATGTGTGTACGCGTGAATACGTGTTTGTATGTATGCGTGTACGTGATGTGTGCATGTCTGTATGTGTATATGCGTATGTGTGTATATGTGTGTATGTGTGTGCATGTGCTTATGCGTGTGCGAGTGTATGTGCGCATGCTTGCATGAACGCATGTCGCATGTAGGCATGTACGACGTATGTGTGCATCTATGTACGCATGTCTCCATGCATGTATGTATGTACGTACGTACGTAGATAGGTATGTATGCACGTATGTATCCACCTTTGGGCCTTCCTCAGACTCTACCCTTTATCAGGTGGGGTTGAATATTTACATATACAAACACCAAAATGTGTGTGTATATATATATATACGTACACACATGGCGGTTGTCTGAAATTGCTTGTTCCCGCAAACGCCGCAAAAATATGCTCGGAAGCTGCGCTCAACTGAACCCGAAAGTTTCAAAATCCTACAAGCTGCTTTCAGCTGAGTTGCCTTGGGGCAGCTGATTCTACCCGTCCTGTTTGTGGGAACCTCTCGCCACTGTTTGTGTCTGTATTTGGGGATTCAGAGCCCCCCCGACCCGAGTGGTTGATATTCCAAACCACCAGAAACGGGGACCCTCAAAACGTCCTGTTGTCAGGGAATGAGGGAACACCCCCCATGAACCATCCCGTGTGATTTCCTTTCAGGGGACCTTTGGGTTGATTCCGAAACCCTAGGAAATTCTTTACTGAGAAACGGTAAGTTGCTTGCGTATGCCGTATGACATTGTATGAGACACACCAAAGACACACCAAAGCTCGGCCTCCTTGCAAACACAGTTTCTTTCTCCCAGACTGCCCAAAACGGAACAGAACAACGGGGCGCAGAAACGAAACCCGAAGCATGTTCCAATTCTAGAAAACGGTTTGGATGCGCGTTTTGTGGAGTTCACCTGTTCTTCCCCCTGGTGGGTCTTTGTTAGGAATCTTTTAGTACTATTTTCTCCTACGGGGGTGGATCCACAAAAGCCACATCCAATCTGCTTTCGCGAAATAGTGACTCGCTACCAACACGGGTAGGAAACTAGGCAGTCAAGAGGCGAACAGCAGGTATGTGCAGCAGTGCTTTGCTCAACGGCCCCATTCTTCTTACTTGCATTGTTAGTGCCAGTAAAAACACACACACACACAGGCATACATATATATATATATGTATATATATATATACATATTTATATGTATATAGATGCATCGTACCCTTTTACAGTCGTTGGTTGTCAAATGCGCTTTCTTCAACAAACCGGAGGGCGTTTGCTTAAGATAATTGCATCGAACGTGTAACACAGTACTGTCTGGATTAGCATAGCTACGACATGTGTAATTTATGGGCTCCAAGAAACATGCTCGAAGCAGCTACAGTACCTCTCCTCTCTTCTGGAGTGAATTGGCCGGGAAAAGTGAACTATTTGTTTGCCACTAAAATGGTCTCCCCCAAACGTACCAAGTCCAGGCCTCAGGGTTGGCCCAATAGCTCGGTGAACATAAGACGTCTGCTGGTCTTGATCTGGGCGCAAAAACCACCCCCACGCAAGTGGCTATGTGTCCGCTTTGAACGTCATCCACCAAGATGAAGCTCTCGTTGCATTGACCCGACGGGTGATGTGTAAAAGTGTAAAACAGCCCGAAAGGATGAATATAACTTGCAGGAAGACTTGGCCGCACATTTCATGCCTCAAATGGGTTGGTGGACATAAGAATCCCCAAATCATGTCAAAACAAAATGTCCCCAACTAAAATGTTCATACCACATGGTTCACCTTTGAAGCCCTTCCTTCGCGCCTTCGCCGGAACTCTGTCCCGTCCGGGCCCCCGGCCGAAGCAATTGGCGCAGCCCGAGCTCATGCCATGGCTCCTTCGATTGGCGTCTCCGCTTTCGTGACACGGTAATTATCCCCTGCTGGAAATGGACCGAATCCGTTCGCACCACTTGGAAACCATGGCTGAAACCATGGCTGAATCCGTTCGCACCATGTTTGGTGGGTATTTTCAGAAGAATCGGATCGAAATTCCGGGCTTCTGAACGGTGCAGAATTTCGGCCATCCACAGCCAGTGTGTGGATGACAAAATGGCGGCTAGTCTTTGTTTTGGGCTTTTTTGGAGGGCTTTAAAGAGACATCTTCATAAAGATGCTCCGTGCGGATCCCCCGAAGACACCACCCAAACGCGGCGAAAACCGACAAGTTGTCATTTGAGTCTTTCCCAAAACAATGCGAAGGTGTGTTTATGATTTGTGGGCACACACACTCCTCTGTCAAATCCTGTGATGCCACCACCGAACCAGAAACAACGCCTACTTTTCCTGTCCGAGCAGTGCAACATAGGCGCGCATCCGCAGCTTCTTGCTTCGGCCGGGCTCATAACATGTGGACGGACAAACTCCTCCTCGTACCAGCTGGTAGGTGTTTTTTCTTCTTTTTTCCCCAACAGCTGAAAGCTGTGGGGTCTCAGCCCAGATAGGCTCCGGGGTGGTTCGGGGCGACCCTGAGCTAAGGGTCCACCAGGGTTCCACCAGGGTTCCACCAGGGTTGCACCAGGGTTCCACCAGGGTTCCACCAGGGTTCCACCAGGGTTCCACCAGGGTTCCACCAGGGTTCCACCAGGGCTCCACCAGGGTTTCACCATTTGCGAGGTTTCCACCAGGGTTCCACCACATTCTGCAAGGCTGGTCCGGGGTGGTTTGAGGCAAGGTTCCACGAGGGTTCCACCAAGGGTTCCACCAATTTCTTCGAGGGCTGCGGGGTGGTCCGGGCTGGTTTCAAAAAGTTTCCACAACAGTTCCACAAGGGTTCCACCAGGGTTCCAGGCTGCGGGGTGGTCCGGGTGGTTTGAGGTAAGGTTCCACGAGGGTTGCAACAGGGCTGCAGGGTGGTCCGGGATGGTTTGAGGTAAGGTTCCACGAGGGTTCCACCAGGGTTCCAGCAATTTCTTCAAGCGCTACGGAGTTTTCCGGGCTGGTTTGAGGAAGGTTTCACGAGGGTTCCACAAGGGTTCCACCAAAGTTCCACCAGCCTCAAACCAGCCCGGACCACCCCGCAGCCCTCGAAGAAATTGGTGGAACCCTGGTGGAACCCTGGTGGAACCCTTGTCCGGAGCACAAAGGGCTGGTGGAACCCTGGTGGAAACCTGGTGGAAAAGCTTACCTCAAACCACCCCGGAGCACCCTGCAGCCCTCGCAGAACCTGGTGAAACTCTGGCAGAACCCTGGTGGAAATCTGGTCGATTTTTTGTGGAACCTGGACCAGGGTTCCACCACGGTTCCACCAGGGGTTCCACCAGCGGTCCAAAATGAGGTTCCGTGGTTTGCCCTGGAGGGAAGCAGTGTGTCGTGCGCTCGTCGTCTGAAAAGCCATCGGATCAAGATTGGGCGGAACACTAAGCAAAACCGAAATCAATGGCTTTTAGCGCACTTTCACTGTTTTGTGACTTGTTGGCTTTGTGGCAAATCAGATAACGCCGCTGCGGGACTCACGGTGCAGCAGAGTAAATGCTTGGCATTGCCGCTTGGTGGGCTTTGGGTTCCAAGAATTCCACGAGGCTGCGAGGGCTATGAGGTAAGGTTCCAAAAACGTTCCACAAGGTTGCCACCAGGTTCTGCAAAAGCTATGGGGCAGCCTTGAGGAAAGGTTCCAACCAAGTTTCACGCTGAGCTCCACGAAAGTTGCATGAGAACGGTTTGCGAGGTTTACCGGGCCTAGGTCGGGGCCCGATTGCACTGCCGGGGCCCGATTGCACCACTTGGGCCCGATCGGCCCCGATTGCGCCATCGCGCCCCAATCGGGGCCCGACTCAGTCGGGCCCCGTCAACTGTACCAAGCTGGCATCGCCTAGTTTTGCTTTAGATACAGTTGTAATCCGCATGCTAAGGAAAACCGGCGTTGAGCTATAATACGGGTGGCTGGGGTTGCACCACGGGACGATCGGGCCCCGATTGCACCGTCGGGCCCCGATCGGGCCCCGATTGCGCCGTCGGGCCCCGATTGCACCGTCGGGCCCCGATCAGGGCGACATTGCGCTGTCACTCGTAGCTTTGCTTTAGAAAGTTACAAGGCGGCATCCTAAGGATGGTCCCGGGGCGTTCCGCGAGGATTCTGGGTGTGGTGCTGTTGGGGATATCGCCCGAGCTTATTTTTTAAATAGGGGTTCATCCAACCTCGTACCTCGAATTATTAAAAAAGTAATAAAATACCACCTCGCAAATTAAGGGTCCACCTCGCACCTCGTATTTTGGCGCCTTCCTTGCCTCCTAAAAGAGTGGAAAATTGGAGGGGGGTCGAGCCAGGTGTATTGTTGAACCTTTTTTTCAAACGTGTGCGTTTCAAGCTTGTTAAGGGCAATTAAGCAGAAACGGCCGGTTTTGACAACTTGAGACCAGTCTCAATGAGAGACAAAGAAGGGCCGGATTGTCTCAAACGTCTGTGTTTTCAAGCTTTTCAAGGCCAACTAAGCAGAAACGGCTGGTTTTTGAGAAAATATGGCCCTTCTCTGTCTCTCATTGAGGCGGGCATCAGGTTCTCCAAAACCAGCCGTTTCTGCTTGTTTGGCCTGAAGAAACTTGAAAACACACACGTTTGAGAAAGTCCGGCCCTTCTCTGTCTTTCGTTAAGACACATCAAGCTGACAAAAACCAGCTGTTTCTGCTTAATTGGCCTTCAAACGCTTGAAAAATTAAAAAGACACTCGTTTGAGAAAATCCGGCCCTTCTCTTTCTCTCATTAAGACTGGCATCAACTTCTAACGAGTGCGGTAGCAAGCATTTTAGGGCCAAATAAGCAGAAACGGCTGGTTTTTGAGAACCTGATGCCCGTGTTAATGCAATTCAGAGCTCGGATTGTCTCAACCATATGTGCTTTCAAGCTTTTTACGGGGGTCGGAATCTCGCACACCTGGCCACACTTGGCGCCCCGGTGCGCCGAATAACACCCCACAGATTTGAGAAATCCTTATTTTGGAAACCACCGCGTAATTCGGGGTTTGGGGCTCGCCTCAGGCCAGTGAGCTCGCTATAATTTGTCTAGAATTATCCACAGCATGCAAGCGCAAAACAGAAGAGCAAAGCTATGTCTAAGGCAACTTGCACCGGAACTCAAAAACCACACATACCCAATGTAGTTTCGTAGCTTCGAGAACTTCCCTGCAAAAATCTATATCTTCAGCTCCGACGAAAACAAACTAAACCAAACCCCAACACGAGGTTCCCCCCTCCGCCCGGAAAAAAGAGAAGAAACAGTTGGAAGCGAAGATTGGAAGCCGCTCTCCCGGCCTGAGGCATTTGGCGGCGCACTGCTGGCGGTTGGGCCTGCTGAAGCACTGGGTTCCGCAGGTCTTCAGCTTGCCCTGGTCCTCCCAAGCAGAGAACTCAATTTGTGGAAGAAATTGGACATCGAAGGCCTCGAAAAATCTTGCTGCTCAGGGAATGAGGGAATGAACCTGGGTTTCCCCTTAGAAGGAAACCACAAGGGATGGTTTATGGAGGTCATTCCCTCATTCCCTGCTCGGCACCAGCGAGTTGTTCTTTGCAAAATGAAGGTTGGGGTGTTTCATTTTAGGGTAGTCTGCATAGACTGTAAGTTTTTCCACGGGAGAAGGAGTTGGATGGGGCCAAAAGAATCCCCCAAACTTGTCGTTTGCCACGAACAATGTCTTCCCAAAAAGCGCAACGTCCAGGAACTCGGGAAGTGAGGATACGTGTGGCAGCGTCTTTTAGTCTTTTTAATGAGGAACGCCCTCCAAAGCGTGGGATCTTGCAGGAATGTTCAGCTACCCCAGGTATCCCCTACCAGCCTCCTATTTTGCTCTCGTTTCCCGGAAAGCCGTGGAGCTGAGGTTGTGTTCCACTTTAAGGGGAAAAAAGACCGACAAGCGCATGGTGGTGTATGGCTGTGGGTCAATACTAGGTGCCCAAATGGATCCCTAAGTGAAAACATGGACCAACACCTGCGGATTTGTGGTGGTTTGATTTTGACCCACACACATATAAGCTCCCTGGCTCCAAACCCCATACCTGAGAGAAAATTACATTGAAGCACTCCAGGACCCAACCACCGCAAATGGGGGGTCTCAAAGGGGCCCCTTCCACCTTCTAAAACTGTTTATAGAGTGCGGAGCAGCCACATCATAGCCATGGTCCAACTTATTTCGCCTGGAAAATCTACATGTGCTGTCACAAATGGAGCATAGACTCCTGGATCTTCGGGATCACCTCATCATGGTCACAAAACAAATCTTGAAACATATTGTTCTAAAGGGAAAAATAAAGGAAGAACGCCAGTCCTTTTGGTCACATTCTTGCTCCAAGACACATGCGTGTTTCCGCGATTTGGGTTGTTAAAGAAAAGGAAAAGCAACTAGAGGGGCCGAACGTCAAAAGCAATTGCCGCGAAAAGTGGACCCAGGCATGTGGTGAACCCTCCATTGAGGAAAAAACAGACATAACAAAACAAAACATAAACAAGAGAAAGATGAAAAACAAGCAGTGAACAAACAAACGCCACATGTCGCAAGAAGAGCGAGGGTATCCCTTCATGTCGACCCCAGTTTATCAACCTTGCAGCTTGACCGACCTGTCCCCCTCGCCGGAGCGAGCGCGACAAGCATCAAACTCAGCGCACTATCTAATCACAGACAACCAAGAACATACCAAACGACTAAAACAATACCACTAAACAACCATCCAAAATACACATAGAACAGAAAGCAACAATAGAAATCAAAGCCACCAACCAGGAGGACAGGTTCCCCCCAGTACATCAACTCATAGGGGGCGTCCTCATGTTTGAGCTGTCAAAATCACTTGCTTCGAGTCCCCTGGGAACTTATCACATGCCTCGAACCTCGAACCTGATGTGTATGGTCCAGATTGATCCGAAAGCTGACATGTGTAGCAAGCTAGGGCGACACCTTTGCTGAAATGGCTTTGTCTTGGTTTCTCTTTGCCCAAGAAAGAGAACCCCCATTGTTCGGGGGGTGTCCTTTTGTAAAACCTCTCCCCCCAAAAAAAAAACAGAACAAATACAATACAAAATGAGAAGAGTGCCACCTTGTATAAGGAACCCCTCAACTTGGTGACTTCCCTTTAAAAGGGAGCAAACACTACCCTCAAAAAGAATCGCCCAAAATGCAAAGAGATACCAAGCCTCGGCAAAAAACGACACCCAAGCCCTCCTCATAGCAGCCGCCGGACTTGAGCGCAGGCTCCGCAGGCTCCGCCTGCTCCGCCTGCTCCGTGCCGAGGCACCACCCATTTCGGGGCCCCCTGTAAAACAAACCCAGGTGAGTCACAATCAAAACCCCGTAGAAAGGTCGTAATCCCAGGACCATGCGAAGAATCAAGAAGGCGGATATCCGCAGCTATTTATGGTTGGGATTGTCCCTTGCTAACCTTCATCTACCCGCGTTTTGGTTGTGGCTCAGGATAATTGTTTAGGACATACCTCTCCTACCACCGAAAACTACTGGCTCTCACACCCGATTGTCACAACCGCGCAAAAAGTGACAACGATTCCATTGAGGGTTGAAAGGGAGCCTGAAGCAAAACCGAAAAAAAAAAAAAAAAAAAAAAAAAAAAAAAAAAAAAAAAAAAAAAAAAAAAAAAAAAAAAAAAAAAAACATGAAGTTGAAAAAGGTCAGCTAAACTGGCAGCCTGGCAACCACTATCTTAAGGTTCTCCAAAATTTCTTTCAGGGCAGTTTGCCCTTAACCACCATTCACTATG